GAGAACCAAACCTTTGGCATGTGTCGAACTTCTGTATATTGTATCCCTTGAACATCAGTATATTTTCCCATTTGAGAGTTGCTACCACGAGGAAGGAAAATACTGATTTACTTCAGGCACTAGAGTTTCATTTCAGTTTCGACAGCATACTGATGTTCACCAGAGTACAGTGACTAAAAATTATGAGATATTTTCTCAGAATTTGTGCGTTTCTTCAATATTTTCTGTGATTGTTCCCTTATGAAGATCGATGTTAAATGAAGCGAAACGTTGACCCATTAAGTAGAATATTTTTTCTTTCCTAGTGTCACTATCTGTCGGATGGAAAAAGCTTACTGATGTTCTGGAGATACGGTATATGCTATTTCAATGACACTCTTCTCTCCTCGTTTCTTCAAGAAGAAATTAAACGCAGAGAAACGAACGAACCACCTATATTCTTCTCCATCCGAAGGCCGTGCTTTCATGGACAAGAACATTTTAGCTTCGTTCGTTTCGCTGTTTCTACTTGCTTCTGTTTATGCTCAGTGGTCCTCCCACATTCTTCATACTTTTCATTATTGCTAACAGCTTTAACTGCACGTGATTGTTATTTTCTTTTTTAATATCGCCATCTCTTTAGTGTTTACTTGCGCAAGTATCTTTTGGTTGGGCTTGTCAGTACCTCACCATTGCAGAGAAGAGTGGCACTGGCTTGCAGTGGTCGAACATAGCTCTCAACAACTACGGCAATGAGGAATTCGCTTTTCTATCATCTCTACTGATGCTTTACGTCGATTCTGCAGTGTACCTTTGTCTGACGTGGTACATCGATAGCGTTTTTCCAGGTAAGAATGACATATTTCATAAAAGTTTACTTGATGTTTAGAAAATTTACATTTTAAGGAAAATACGGTATACCCAAACCATGGTACTTTCCGTTTCGCTTCCTGTATTGCTGCTACCGTCCAGTCTTGTCTCCTATGAATTTCGCTCTCACTGGTAGTATTAACAGTCGTTACGTAACTTCACTGGATTATGACTTTAAGACACAACGAATTGCAATGTTGAAACAGAACTGTCAGCCCTACCCATTGGAGTCTCAATACGCAATCTGACGAAAATTTACACTGGAAAGCAAAAAGTGATCGATAATTTTTCGCTTGACTTCTATGAAGGTCACATAACGTCATTCATTGGTCATAACGGAGCAGGAAAAACGACCACCTTGTAATATATTTTAACCTTTCTGTGCATTAAGTACTTTTCATTATTTTATTGATTGAGGAATCGATTTGTCGGCGAGCTATGTCATAATCTACTATTTATTTTTTTCTGACTTTCGCCTACAGCTTTCACAATTGATTCAAATGAAAAACAAAGCTTTTTTTCCATAGGACACTTCGGCATTATTCTGTCCTGTAGTTTGCTAATATCCGTTAAATTTGTCGTCGTTATGTCTAGATCTTTAACGCCCCCTCCAGTGTACTAAAATCTCCCCCGTTTGTCGTGTAGTTCGTGGACTAATTAATTTGCCCGTCAGAACCTCCAAGCGCGTTCTTTAAGGTCCTGGATCTCGGTCTGTTGTCCACCAGAACCCAGTTCGTTATTCTTCCCATCTACCTGTTGTCTTTCAGGTGAGCCACATGGCCGGCTTATCTTCTCGTATTAGCGTAGCAATGAGACTTCACGTCTGTTAATCGAGCTTGTCTTCGAATTTGTGCGTTCAGTGATCCCGAAGGAACCTTAAACATTTTTTGAGCCACAGCTCTGTGCTTGACCATCAATTTGTTCTCCTCGACTTTAGTATCAGACTGTCATCCAACTCTGTTAATCATGGCGAGTAAAACGCATGAATCGACCTGTTATTTCTTCGCCCCACGAGCAGCTCACTTTCGAGAAATGTGGTATTATTGCGATTATAGCTTACCCATGACTCTCTCCGTCTTCTGCAGATTTTTCCCCTTTAAGGATTTCATATGGTCTATGTAACGGCTATATACGTATGCGGTGACTTCTGCGAGTTTTTCGCCATTCCCATAGACAGGCTCCTTTCAAATTCATTTTATGTTGGAGAGATGAACCTCCGACGGTTCAGTTTAGCCACATTGGCACGTTTTTAAATCAGGGTCCTATCCATACATTAAAACCCATTTGATCCTATTGCCATCATTTAATAGAGTTTCTGAATGGCAGTCCTTGCCTTTTCTTGTTCTTCGTCGTTTGCTGATCAGCCTACTACGATACATTGTCCCAGCTTCATGAATATGTGAACATGATGTCTGTTCGGAAAGTCGGGAGATGATGAAAACTTGAACAGAATTCATAGTGACTAACAGTAATTATGGATGAGATGGCAAGTTTTTCTTCTGCCTTATTTTCACAATCTATGGGCAGAACCTTTTTTTACAAGTTAAATTTCCTTAAAAATAAAGATTTATGTCAGTTCAACATACCACTGCCTCGTTAGCCGGTTGAGACAAGTTTCTTGAAGAGTGTTCAGACTATGTTTGTGACTGCAGAACATACATGCCACTGTACTTAATTATGAGATTTCGTTCCTTAGTTCTCTGACATCGAAGCGATATTGGTCACACGTTTCTTAAATTCTTTTCGTATACCGATATTGGTCACTATGAGTCGAATCAAAGAGAATTTTCCCCTCAAGGCACAT